TAAATACTTTACAGCATTTTTTTTCATTTCATATAATAGTTATATAAATCAGAATTTTTTAGGCACCATATTTAATGAAATCTTAAGAAAACTCGTCTTTAGTTATTAAATAAAAACTGCGAAAAGAATTTCATGTTAGAAATAATCTCTTAATGCCGTTCTTTTAGAGATCAAGAAATTTAAATTTCTGTCTAAGCTATTTCAATAAAATAACTCTCATGTGTGCATAATTTTCTTCTTTAAGGGCACTTGCCTAATTAATGATGATGTTAATTTTTAAATCTTTAATGCAATGCAATCTTAAGAACTTCGTGTGGCGTCTCAGTTTATTACTTTTTATTACCTTAAGGCACGTAAACTCTATTTTTTTACTTTATTCTTGAATTTAAACTGTGGCAGAAACAACCCGATTTTCAAACGAAAATTGTAAGATCCTCTTGGAATGAATTAGTTTTTGTTTAAAAGGTAAATTAAGATAAAAGCTTAAAAGGATCTAATTTGTTATTATACAAGAAAATGCTTAATTTTAAAAAAAATCGAAGAGGTTGTAATACGACAGTTTTTACAAAAGAGTTCTAATTTTTACACCTTATTCGATTTGAAATTCTAAAGTTTGTTTTCCAAAGAAACATACCATACTTTAAGATGTTAATAATCAATTTACTTCATGAAATTTGGAAAAATTGAAGTTAAAAACAAGTGGGAAATAAGTATAAGGAAATAATTATTGTATATAAGGTAAATAACTTGTTTATTTGTTCTGTTTTCATACGTTAGGATGTAGTTTCTTAAAAAAAAAGTTTTACTCCTTCCTCATATCTAGGCCTCCTTAGAGTGGATTTTTTTTCTTTGGAAGAAACCTGAATTTGGAAAAGTATTCGTGAAAAAAAGCTTGAAATCTCTCGTCATATTTGTCAAGAGATTTATCTAAACTTAAAACTAGACTCATTTATATGATGAATTAAAATGCGATAGCATTTGTTTCGACACAATATAAAGTGACAACTTTAATCTCTTGCTAAGAAGTTTTTAACAACACATTGATCACACAATCAGTAAGCTAGAGAAATTATACACTCCATATGTCGATCATTGATACATTGCATTAATCGACATATGCAATGATACATTGCACATGTGGATCAAACCACATTTATCCAGTAAAAATTTAAGCTCACTGCTTTGATTAGGATAATACAATTCAAATTACTTAGAAATTTTGTAAGAAATACCGCTATTTATGAACATAATTTTTTGGTGAATGAATACTATTATACGCTTTTGGAAACCTATTCATTTATTAAAAATTTTAAAAGTATAAAGATTTGTCACAGCGTTTCATGCTCCCTTCTCGATCGCGCATTATGATTTGGGAACTAGACTGCAACGCTTTGATTTCATAAAAATACTGATGTAAATTCTTCTCATTGCTGCTGTGTATTCTATTTGAGACTCAGTTGTCTTGTTAGGAGCTACAAGAAATAGGAAAACTTAATTGAAAAAGTAATTGCACTTTGGTATTACTAATTAGTAAAAATCAGAAGTAGTCGAAAGGCTATTTGTGATAAAATATTTTTTTAACAACTGTGAAAGCGTAAATCTCTCAAGCTATTCAACTAAATTTGAAAAAAAAACAATTTACTTAAAAGGATTAAATCATTTACCAAATGTGCATAATTAAGTTTCTTAAGATTAAAATTACTTTAGCTGCGTTTCTTTCAAACTATCGTAATTCTTTTTTTTTTAATTTCAGCCTTAAATAATGAGTCAAAGCTTCTTAAAAAATCATCCTGAATAACAATAAAAGATAATTGAAAAAACAATGGTTAAACAATAATCCCTCTTTAGTATTCTTCCCAGAAACTCGCCAATTGGTTCAATTTTATTTATTGTTCTTTTACCAAAATATTCGTAAATTTCAAATGTTTTAACCAATCCCACTTACTCATCTGTAAATTGTGTTCATAGGATAAAGAGTTCCAAAGAGTGATTATTTTTAATTAGTGTACTTTCATTCCTTTCATTAATTTTAATTTTCCTGCCTAACATGAAAGTCGCATGGGGCAGTTATTGTCAAATTTCAGAAGAATTTTAAGGCGAGAATTGTATTTTCTCAATAACTTAAAATATACTGTTTAAATGCAGGTTATGATTGTTTTATTGCTATTTGTGGGGTTTTTATTATTCTTCCAGTTTCAGGTTTTATAATTTTACTAGATTTCTGTTAGAATTACATCGTCCAACTTCAGACATCTCCTTTTATTGAAACAAATTGTTATTTATAATCTATTTAATATGAAGTGACCAGGAATAAGATATAAGTCTAATGCCCATAAGCAGAATATTTTCAAATGTTCTGCATCAGGACATATTAATTTATGCAAATGCTCTGCAGGCATTTCACAGCAAGCAAAAATTTACGTTAAAATACTATAATTTCATTTATTAAAATACAGGATCATGCAAAGATACCCTACAATATTTTTTAAACCAAGGCAAATATTCTTGATTTGTTACTTTCTCAATCACTTTTGAAGTGCAAAATTTTGTTAATGACGATGATGATGATAAATTATTAATAAATTGCCTATGGTCCGAACATTAAAATCTTAAATCTTTCGAAGGGACAAATGCCCAGATGGTGCACCATTTGAAAAACACAAACATTCGCTGGTCTGTTGTTCCAACAACTTCTTCATCTCCATCAAAAGTATTTAGTCTTGAAGAAACAATTCTATCAATCGTGGATCCCCACGTTTCACAAATTGCTTCTCAAATGGGAATGTAAAATATAAAAGTCATAAACTTAATTCAATTGGAAATATCGAATTTAATTCTTTTACAACTTGCTTTAGAAGCTCTCGTGATCGATTTCTCCTGCTGTCTGCTAAAAACTGATACACCCATTTTATAAAAATGTTATAGCCGAATGCTAATTCATTAATTTCCTCCTCAGAATGGCAAAGATATGGGAGAGGGAGATTACTGATAAATGTGCTGAAATGTGTGCAGGGTGTCAATTGTTCCTCTTCTAAAGCATCATTCCTGGGAAACAGCAAGTGGTCAAAGCTAAAGAGAATTTTATTCAAGATACAAATTGTTCTGCAGGACTTCGTTTGTTCTCCGACGTACGTCACAGTTTTAGGCACTTTCTGCTTCTTGGGTCTAATGTAACTTCGTTAATTTATACAGAAGGATTTGTGTAAACAAATACTTAATTGCATCATTAGATTAAAATCGATGATTAGATGAAAAGTTATGATGATGCCTTATATCTTAATTTTTTTGGCTTACTCTATATCTACAGTAGAGTTGGTCGAAAGTCTACAGTAGAATCGTCGCTTACTCTATATCTACAGTAGAGTCGGTCGAAAGTCTACAGTAGAATCGTCGTTTACTCTATATATACAGTAGAGTCGGTCGAAAGTCTACAGTAGAATCGTCGCTTACTCTATATTTACAGTAGAGTCGATCGAAAAGTAGCTTAAATCTTCGAGCTATAGACCGGAAAAACTGTAAACAACCATCATTAATAGGTATGCAAAATCTTACTACCCCTTAATGGGCCAAAAGTGGGGAAAATTATACTAAGAATGCCTGAAATGAAGAAAAAAAATTGGAGAGTTTGCTGCTGGGATTGCAGCAGAACATAAAAGTTAACATTTCTTAACAAGAATATCTGTTCAAGATTTAGAAACTACTTAATATCTTCAGTCACCTAAAAGGCATCCAAGTTTGGATTCGTCTATTGAGGCGACCTGGAACAAAAGAATTTAATCATCGAAATTTGTACCGTATTTTCTGCTTTTAATCTAACGATCGAGTTTGATTTAATGATTCAATAAAGAATCTGTTAGCGAAAAAGATTTTTCTTAATGCACCAATTCAAACTTCTATGACGTTAAGGATACTGAAGATAATAAGTTGTTAATCTAAAAGTTTGTTTTGAGTTAAAAATTATTACTTAATGTTAGTAATGAGTTAAAAATGGTAACTTAAAAATGTTGCTGCAAGCACATCAACAAAATCTAGAATTTGTTGATGTGCTTGCAGCAACAACAAATTCTAGTCATAATTTTGACTGATTGCGGAGGCAGACGTTATTAATTCAGAGTGGTAAGGTTTTGAATACTTCTAAATGATGGTATTTGACAACTATTCCGCACTAGCGCTGAAAGATTTCAGATACTTAAGACTTTTTCTAACCATCCTAATCTACACCCTGAAGATTTTAGAACTAAGAAACTAACATAACGTTGCATAAGACTTGGGTTTAAAAAATCATATTTATTTTCTTATTACCAAATGGTTCATATAACATCAGGTAAAATTTAATTTCACTAAATGTTATCCATTGCTTGTAATAAGTTTATAGTAAATTTCAAATAATAAAATGATGATATCGATGATTTACTTCGCAAATGTCCTAATTATTAAAGCTTTTAGAGGTCACTAATTACATTTTCAAAGAAAACCATCGATAACATATTAGATAAAACTTATTTTCATAGCATTTCATATTTATAATTACCTTTAAAAATAACTTCTTCAAATTACTGAGAAAAACTAATTTCAATTGTAAAAAGTGTTATTAATTATTTATTAAAATACCAAGTAACATAAATTTAAAAATATCAAACGCTTTATTTGAAATTGGATAAAAATTGGTTTTAGATAATGCTACATTAATAATACCTAATGTACTTATAAAATGATCAAGTAGCCATGTACATTTTGTTTTCAAGAAAAGTTCAAAAATTTTATGTATTAATGGAACGTTCTTTTTTTTTTGTATTTTCTTAATTTATTTTTAAGAAATTACTTTTCATTTTTTCTCAAAAACAAAAACATTTATAACAAAGACGGGTACACAAAAATGAGGAAAAAAGGCTTTTCTGAAATATTATTTAAAAAGTAATGATAATAAATCTCCAAACAGTAATTATCCATTCATGGAAAGGAAAAAACGCAGTTCAAATAAATATTTGAGTAATTCTTACCACATTAAATAGAAGATCTTCCCTCTTATCTTATTATATATAACAATGAAATCTTTAGGTTCTAATTTATTGCCGTTCTTTCACGCTAGTTCTTACAAAATAAAACGTTGTTTGACAAGAAATTGGAGCTAAAATGAAGGAAAATAAATCGACATAATTTCAGCTGTCTTCAGGTGTCATTAGGACTCTACAAGCGCCATTTTTCACGCAATATTAGAACGTTTATCACTTCTAGAAACAAAACATGGGTTTCTAAAACGTCATATATTTAGTTTCGATGGTAATTACACCTTTTAAAGGTCGTAGACAACAGGAAATCTCCTATTTATGCCATTTTCATTTGATTTTAGCATTTATATTTGAATATAAATGATAGGTCTCTACACCAGTTGAAACATTAGGAGAGATTCCAGTTTTGGAAAAATAATTAAAAGTAGCAAACATAATCTTGCAATGAGTGTGGCATTTAAGAAAAGATTTTTTTGTAAAAATAATAAAATTAATATTTGAAACATCTTTATTTTGTCTGCAATTTCTTCCGTAGTTAGAACATTAAAAATAACTGATATTGAGTTCATAATTTCCCTTTTTTTTTTAAATTTTGATCCACTCCGTGTTAGACAGATGAAATCGTAATGTTTTTTTTAATTGAACCTTCTTTATAAATAGCAGGAGAATAAACTGGTTTAAATGCCATATCATGGATTGAATGTTTAGAACTTTTATAAAAATCGAGGAAAGGGTAAAAAAACTGGTAGTTCTCAATAGTGATACAAATAAACATCTTTATTCTTAAAAACTTCAATAAAATGAATAACATTTTTGCTGAAAAATACTATATTTTAGTAAACCTTTGTTAAAATCATCTTTTGAATGCTTTAATTATGCTAAGTATACATTCTAAAATTATCAACTTTGAATATGCAGTTCGCAAACTGAAAAAAAAACTGTTACCTTAAATAACTTTTAAGGATAATGATCGGATTTTCTCAAAGTAAGTGTCAATCTTAATAGTTTGAAAAAGTAATCTCAAAAATGCCAACATGCTTCCGTAAACAACGGCTTTAACCATCCGATTTTTGGCGATATGTAGGCGAATGGCGACTATAGCGATCATAAACATTTTGATTAATAAAAAAGGAGTATCATTAGTACTAAATTTACTAATGCATTTATTTGTTAATTATTCAGTAATAAATCGAAAAAAGATTAAACATTCCGCCATTTGCTCTGGGGAAAAGAAAAAAAATGAAAATTGTCGAGATGACGGTTACAGTCGTGGAGAATTATCACGGAAAAACTGTGACAAAATTTGACTATTTTCACTTAGTATTACTGAGGCTAAATTTCATACGGCAATCATAAACAATGTGTTACTAAATACGATTAAAAGTATGCGGTAACGTGCTAGTACTAATTAACTATTAAGTTCAGACATAAAAACGTACTTTCTCTGAATAAACTTACATTTTATCAACGGATTTGGATTTTTAACCATTAAAATATGTAGGGGAGACACAATCGGGAAAATATGGTACAAATAGTTAGACCCCAAAATGTCAATTTAACTTTCAGCATATTTCATCACCTTTCGGCAAGTTTTAAATCAAATCAAAAACCTTTTAAACGCAACTATAAAAATTCGTTTATTCAAAAATAACTCTCTGCAAAAATAATTTTTAAAATTATTTAAGTATTTTATTTAATAAGGCTCAAAAAATATTAAACTGTAAGGTGAATACATTTTTACTTCATTTTAAACTATATATGGCGAAAGTTGAGAGAAATAGGTTGAATAGTTTTTGAATAATAAAATTTCAAAAAGTCTTATTTTCTAAATTTTATTCGGCAAGATCTATTTGATCAATTTCATTTAAGATTTGTCATCTAAAATTACTCATAAAATAATTTATGCCCTAAATGTGTAGGTTTCGTGGAGCATATTTTTGAAATTTTTTTCTTAAGTTTTTAGCAAAGTTAAATTAACAATTTAGAGACATAAAGATTAGCAACGTTTTTCTCTATGAAATCCAGCCCTCAAAGGCACGTTTATCAATAAATTACAAGTAGAATGCAAACTATAGCACTTTTTTTTAATAATTTTTAAAAATATGGATTCCCTAAAACACTACAAATTTGTGAAATTATATTCTAAATTATCTCATTTAACGTTAAAAATGTAACCACGTTTTCTTTTAAAATTCGACATTCAAATTTAAATTTTGAAAAAAGGAGCAGCTCGAATGCAAAGCATATTACAGTTATTCATATTCAAATTGTTTATATCCCCAAAATTTGGTTTTTGATACAAATCTAGAAAAATTAATTTAGAAATTATTCTTTGTAGTGTTAAAATTTATTCAAGTTTCCTTCACTTAAACTAAACATTCAAAGCAATTTTCAGAAATTTTCAATATTCAAAAAAAGTTACAGTTGGAATGAAGAGTGTATAGACCCATAATTAAGTATAGCACACATTAAAAATTTCTCAAAAGTTAAAGTTTTGGTACAAATTTAGGAAATTAGTTTTTAAAATGTTGAAAGTTCATTTTAGTGTTAAAGGTGGGGGATTTGACCAATACCACCGAGAAGAGAAAAGGCCTCACAACGGATTACCATAGACAAGAAATTGAAATTTGATCCTTCTGTAGTTCAAAAGTAATGGCATCTTTCGTATTTACCACCATTGCGCAGCTTAGTTGTCCGAACGTTATGACATCTTTCTTATTTTTCATCCACTGCGCAGTTTATGTTCGTCACGTTGGACTACTAAATTGATCCGTGCTGACGCCATCTTCCTTTTAGGAGGTCTTGATTTGACTTTGGCATCTTATTAGTTTTTTAATTTGAAAAAAAATAATAAACTTCAGTTTCCCTTGTTACATAGGACTATCAAAGCTCAATCAAACTAAACAAAACGGTATTAAAATTTATATCAAACAATGTGTTTCTTGCCTTTAAAAGTAAATAATGAAACTTTCCTGATCCCACATGACTCAATAATGCAAATGGCACTTTGCTGATGAGAAATATTTAAATTTAAGTGTTTACTAAATTAGGAAAATTTCCAATTGCTTTGATTAGTTTCTTACTATTTGTTTATTTTTAGGTCCATAGGGAGTCCTGCATTTAGCATATATTTTGATAAACAAACAAATTGATTTTCACCCTGCAATATATCTAAATATTTTTATAGCGAACACATTAAAAAATGTAAAGTAAGTCATAAGATGGAAGTGACTTTTCAGATGACTTTTTCACAAACGAAAAAAAAAAATTTAGAAAATTGTTTAAAATTATTTCCAAATTACTTCTAATTTGTGTGTGTCCTTGAACTTTCTTTTTTTACCATATTTAACAACAGTGATTGCGCATTTTAACAACTTTTCAATCCATTTTTTAAAGGAAAAAAAATTTAAATAATAAAATTAAAACTCTATTGATTTATAATTTCATTTTCAGACAATATGATACTTAAGCTTATTAAAGTACCTTTTAAAAGCCAATCCCTGAAATTTCCGAGTACGACAAGAACTCTAATAATTCGATAGATCTTGCCTTGAATATTATACCAAAGATCCCGTCTGGAGCTGATTGCTGAAACGTAACGACAATTGTATGCAAAAGAGGTCGCATTCATTTCTAGAATGACCCGAATGGTAGTTAGTAGAGAACGGTGATTTTAAGCAAAGCTTCCGCATGATGTTGAGTTCCATTAATGATTATGGCTTTGAAGAATATGGCCTGCAGTCTATTTAATACTTATTTGTACAACAAGTTAGTTCTTAAGTAAATATAACGATTTGTTGAAATCAAGCAATATATAGATGTTGTATTATGAAATAGGGTTTCAGAATAAATGTTAATAATGGATATATAATGAGAGGTGAAAGCTCGTCTTTTCAATCGGGCAAGCGTGATTACCAAATTCAGATGCTAAAATAATTATTTCACGTGTTAAAAACAACTCATAGAGAAAGTATTGAAGTGAAAGTTGTATTATTAAGTAGGATTTCAGAATAAATGTTAGTAATGGATATATAATAAGAGGTGAAAGCTCGTCTTTTTAATCGGGCAAGCGTGATTACCAAATTAAGATGTTAAAATAATTATTTCACGTGTTAAAAACAACTCATAGAGAAAGTATTGAAGTGAAAGTTGTATTATTAAATAGGATTTCAGAATAAATGTTAGTAATGGATATATAATAAGAGGTGAAAGCTCGTCTTTTTAATCAGGCAAGCGTGATTACCAAATTCAAATGTTAAAATAATTATTTGACGTGTTAAAAACAACTCATAGAGAAAGTATTGAATTGAAAGTTGTATTATTAAATAGGATTTCAGAATAAATGCTAATAATGCATACATAATAAGAGGTGAAAGCTCGTCTTTTCAATCGGGCAAGCGTGATTACCAAATTCAGATGTTAAAATAATTATTTCACGTGTTAAAAACAACTCATAGAGAAAGTATTGAATTGAAAGTTGTATTATTAAATAGGATTTACGAATAAATGTTAATAATGCATATATAATAAGAGGTGAAAGCTAGTCTTTTCATTCGGGCAAGCGTGATTACCGAATTCAGATGTTAAAATAATTATTTCGCGTGTTAAAAACAACTCATAGAGAAAGTATTGAATTGAAAGTTGTACTATGATTTCAGAATAAATGTTAATAAGACACATAATTATAGCTTGCAAGGGATAGAGCACGTCTTTTGAATCAAGTGAGAGTGATTATTAAATTCGTTTCTGAAGGAATCAGTTTGAGAGTCAAAAACAAAAAGGAATTTTTGAAGATAAAAGTTGGATTATGAGTTTAGAATTAATGTTAATAACGAATATGCAACAGTAGCTTACTGTAATAAAAGCTCGTCTTTGAAATTAAGCGGACGTGATTAATAAAATGCAGATTTTTGTTTATTAGTTCTTAAGTTGAAAACAACTCATAACGTAAGTTTTTGAAGTTAAAAATAACATTATGAGATAGTTTCGGAATAAATATAATAACGAATACATAATATTAGCTTATTATGATAAACATACGATTTTCGATTCGAGCGGGCGTGATTATCAATCTCAGATTTTTATTAAGCAGTTTACGAGTGAAAAAAAAACTTTTAAAATATATTCTGAAATTTCATAACCAAAAACAATTTACGCGTCGTAGATTTTTATAAATTTAAC